CGGAGGTAGCTGTCAAGACGGCGAAGCGCCTGCTAGTCTCAAACACCGGCCCGACCGGGATCCTCAACCATGACCGCTTTCTGCGTGCGATGTTGTAACTGCGTGATACGCCCGACCCCGGCTGCGACCTGTCGCCCGCGCAAATCATCTTTGGTTGCCCCCTCAGGGACTCGCTGTCATTTGTTAATAGGCTGGGGAAGTTCTCCAACCCTCACATCCGTCCGCTCTGGCGTCAGGCATGGGCGGCAAAGGAAGAGGCCCTCCGGACTCGGATGGCCCCCACCACTGAGTCTCTGAGAGAACACGTACGACCGCTCCGCCACCTCATAGTCAGAGAGGGCGGTGCTCCTCTAGAACCTGGTTGGCTGTAGTCCGCGGGCATGGGACAGATCTGGGGTGGTAGTAGAGTCACTAGGGCATGACTAATACCGCGTCAGGGTCGATGGGTCTGGCCGCCTCACCCTGCGCAACCGGCGCTTTCTCCACGCCTTCACCCCGGCCACCCCTCGCACTCACCCAGAGAGCGCTGCTCCCCTTCCTGCATCCAACGACGAGACACAAAGACTTAGGTCCCACCAACCCGGGGTTAGCGGGACCCCTGCCAGATCAGTCACACACACCACCCGAGCCCCAAGGTACAAACCCTGGCACTGTCCAGCCGGTACCTTGTCGTGACTTCATGTCAGCCGAGAATCCTCCAGACGTAGCCAACGGAGACGCTGCCCCAGCAGCGTGGACCCCGGAACAGTGCCCATCACCTCCCTCCTCCCAGCCAGCGGACTCCGGTCGGGTAAGGCGGCCACCCAAGCGTTGTGTACCTGAAACTGGCCAGTGGGTTAGGTCATAAGTCCACTACGCCGGTGTGTCACACGGCTTCCTGGACTGGGGCGGATGCAGAGGTCACCACTGGCCACTAGGGTGTGTGGTGATCAAACCTCGAGAGAAAAAGGTGTATTCAGGGATGTGCCTGAAGTCACGTACATATGACTATCCCTGGCTGTACATACTGCTGCTTCTCATTTTGGATTGCTGCTTCACCTGCTTGTTAAGCTAATGTAATGGTCACATTGTCAGTATGCATGCTAAGCCGCGCTGCATTTGTTTACCTATTTTACCGCATTGCTTGGCTTTGGCCTTCAGCCCATGCTGCTGCTTCACGCTGCCGTTAGCTTCTGCTCACTCAGCTTTGTATGTCGCCGCAGGCTCCTTCATCCTTGTCAATAAAGCCATTAGACATCGAGGAGTGTATTTCTTCAGGTTGTACCCCACCTCTCCTGGGAAAGCCATCAACCCACCACCATAATCTGGGGTGAGAGCATACAGTAAATGAGTGAAAGAGGCCGCCTTTATGCCATAAATCAGCCTCCAAATGTTGCTGCTTTCCACCCAAAGGCCAGCCTGTGTGCTGCTCCATCACTACTGGAGCATTCAGCTCATTTTTCCAAAAACTGTACCCACCACACACACTGAACCCTCACATTTGAACTAACCTCAAGGGGACATGGAAATGAAGGATTCGCCCACAAAAACCCAACTTCTGTGCAAGCAGTCAGATGCTGGATCAGAGAAGGTGACATCCCTGGCTCCGTCCACTCACCCCCTCAAATACCTGGCCAACAGGACCGAGGATGGACACCTCCGCTGCAGTACGGTTGGTTCTCTGAGAAACACAGCAGATTCAAGACCTGAAAGGTCTCTTTGTTGACAAGTGAAGCGTCACTGTCTACAGATTTTACCCACAAGGCCGTCAGAACACTTGGAAAAGATCTGCTGTGGGAGAATCGACTCGTTAGCTCTCAAAGGCGTACTTACAGTCAAACGGTGGATCAACAGACAGGATGCGGGGCTGTTTTCTTTAAAAATAAACAACACGACAAATTCCGTAGCTCTGACATGCATGTCTGAAATAATTACTAATCACGTCGGCTTCTAAAAAGCCTTTTGAGTCAAGAGTGAGCGGCCACTTGTGTGAGCTAAATGACCTTTTACTGGGTTTCTAAAGCAGCATTTTACAGCAGGCAGCTGCAGTTTCCGCTCCTCTTTCAGGTCTAATAAATACGGCGGAGTCACGTTTTATTCAGCCGTGAAAAACTACGACGATTTATTGTAATCAGGGTTTGTGAGTCTGCTGTTTGACTTTCTGCTGCTCACTAGTAGACCTTTGGTATGTGAACAAATCTGCTAATGAGCAACATCCAAGTGGCTCCATTATTAACCTCGTTGGAACGGCGTGCTTGTTTATTCTAGGCTCAAACCTGAAACCCTTGGGATGATCAAAGCGATCTCCTCTGTGGCAATGTGTGACCTCACAGTGCTGGAGTCAGAGCTGCTCACCGAAGGGAGAACCCACAAGCACGCCTCTGTTAACTCCGTGTGCTCTGGTTTTGGGATTCCACTTATTGTGATGAATGGCGTGAGTCATGACTGTCTGTTTAAGACTTCATGACCGCCTGGGGAGACAGAGCCACGGGGGCCATCACCCTGGCCACTCAACTGTTTTTACTCCGGAGCTAAAACAGAGAAAAACAAACGGGCCTCCCAGAACCAAGCCTGCACGAGAAGGTATGAGCTCCAGGGCCTACAAGGGACAGGAGGAGCCTCAGAAAATCTCAACATTTAGTCTGTTGAACCAGTAGCACCCCATATACAACTGGTAATTCAATGATAGAGAGTTGGAACTTAATTTACTTATTAAAGTGTATTTTTAGAGCAGCGTTTCGTAGCTGTAGGCTTGATTGACTCCTGGGTGAGGCAAGAATTTGTAGTGGTTAGATGGGACGTTGTACAAATATTCCTTTAGAGGGCTTTCTTTAATGCCATTAAAATCACTGGCAGATGTTTAAGTTTTCTTATGGGAAGCAATTTATGAGATTTAGAGGAAAAAAACGGTGCTTAGGGGACTAAAAATAAATTCCCCTCTAGATGAACTTTAACGTCAGCAGAATTCTGGATAATCTCAGAGCGGAGAATTCCTTCAGTCACGTTCCCGGCATCGAACGTTTTTGAACGTTATTCTACACATTTTATTTAATCCTCACACGCTACACATCAGGGTCCCGGACCAGAACTGGACCGGGCAGGTTCTAACATGTAAATTGGGCTGGTGAGGTTAGGCAGTTTCAGCTAGTTGGATGCATTTGATGCAGACTTGGAAGAGTTGGGAAGAACTAGCGTTCTGGTTCGTTTTTGTGAAGTTTCGTGTAGGCTTCAGTGATATGTTGGCATTAAGAAGTGTCATTAGGGTCTGACCTGCCAATTGAAGATTTAGTCTTCCCATTTATGACAACTGGACTGGGTTTTGCAGAATGCGACAGAGTAAAATCCCCTTCAGATCATGTTTTATACACTTCACTTTGCAGGCACACTTCGCTATAGAGCCAAGATGACTCCATAGTTCTGAATAAAGTAAAACATCAGATGGCTTTTATGACTGACTTTATAGTTTATGGCTTTCTTCGCTCTCACAGGCCTTCAAATCCCAGATGGCAGTGACACCTAGTGGCTAAAATATGTAACTATCAAACAGAAATGTCATTCTTGCATGAAACCTGTCAAATTCTTCCTCTCAGACAGGGGGTCCTAATCCTGGACCTGGAGGGCTGCTATGCAGCATGTTTTAGTTGTTTCTCTTGAACACACCTGATTTGAATCAGTAGGTGATTAACAGGCTTCTGCTGTTTGTGATGAACAGGTGATCCAACCACTAAATCAAGTGGGTTGGAGCAGAGAAATAACTAAAACATGCTGGATACCAGCGCTTGAGGATCAGGATCAGGCACCCCTGATCTAAGAGATTGTTCTCGCATTTGTTTGTTTGTTTGTTGCATTTTTATTTAATTTATGAGCGTCTGTAACGTTCTGCAAAACAGTAATGTAGTCTGTTCATTATGTAAGTGAAATAACGTTCACAACAGGATTAAAGAGGGTTGCTTTAAAATGTTTCTTTGAGATCATCTTGCTCAGGTTGAGAAGCTGCTCTCAGAGTCACACAGTTTGGTTAAGATGCATCTTTAAAAAAAAGAAAATCTGTGTTTTCAAACGGCTCGGTTAAACCTGGGTTTAGGTCACATTTCAAAAGAAGAATTAAAACGGTAAGATTTTGAGACACATCATTTAAAAACTGATTTGAATTGAATTGCCAAACCATTACATTTATCTTTCTCTCTCTTCTGCAACATCTGGATTTCTATCTTGATGTGCCCATGGCAGCTTTTAACAATGCATACAACATGCATAAAAGTGTTACTTTGCTTCTGTGAATGTGCCCCAGAGCAGCTGTGGCTACATTGTAGCTCATCACCACCAATGTGTGAATGTTTGTGTGAATGAGTGAATGATACACTGTAGTGTAAAGCACTTTGGAGCCCTCTGACACTGAAAGGCGCTATATAAGTGCGGGTCATTTACTTTTATAAATTTAATGTTTTCTTTTCATTAACTTTTTTAAAATAAAATATATATATATATTTCTGAATATGAATAGAGTACAAACAAGTTTTTTTGTTTGTTTTGTACACACACTAGAAGAGTTTGCTTTATTTAATTTAAAATTTACAGTGAGTAATTGTATTTAATTAATTAAAAATACAATTAGAGTATACAAAAAAATATTCACACGATGAATGATAAAGTGAAATTCTCCAGGAAATGTGCATGTATATTTAGTATTTGGCTTAGAAAAAATTGTACCTACTTTGAAATACAATGTCAATTTTAAAATACATATCTTCTAAACTAACAATTAAAAAAACAAACTGATGTTTTTGTGTAAAATCATTTAAAAGAAATGTTCAGTATTCGAATCAATGATGATAAGTATTTTGCCATATGTTTGCAGCAAAAACGAAGCTCTTTTTTAATTTAATTGTATTTTATTTTATTTTATTTTTAATTAATTAATTTATTTATTTTTTATTTTTGTCGTTTGCGGCTCTAATCAAACGCTAGCAAAATGTTAGTTTGACTGTCGGCGCGTGTTTATTTGAAATGCTTTAATAAAGTTGGAAATTTGAAACAAACTGTTATGTGATGACGTGTATCCGGGTGTTCCTAGCGCAATGGCGGCTCATCCGAGCGAACTGGAGATTGCAAAGAAGAATTTAACGGACGCAGTCGGCGATAACGTGAAACAGTAAGAAAAACGAGCTTTGAACGAGTTTTATTTTGCGTAGGGATGATGCATTTTAATGTGTCGGTCCAAAAAAGCCTAACGTTTACCCTTATTCGTTTAAGCAGTGTGCCAACTAGCGCCTAGCTAGCTGTTGCTGAACTTTTCGCTGTGCAGATTACCGTAGTTTATGTTTTATTGGTGCTGTCCGTGCTGTGTGGCACGATTAAAACGCGAGCTATATTACTCGCCCTACATATCATTGTCTCTTTACTTTTAAAATGTGTTTTGGCTTGTTAAACAAGTAAATATCAATCCCGAGTTTAAGCTTACGAGGACAGGGATGCGCTGATATGTGCAGCTATCTGTTTATACTTAGTTACTGGGCAAACCTGAAGCTGTGGTTCAAACAAAAGATCAGCAAGGAGGAGTTTGACATCGAGGCTCGTCGTCTGCTGCCACAGGAGAATGGTTGGTATGCAGATAAAGCTGATCTTTACCAATGTTACAGGAAAATGCGTGTCTATTTTCTAATATCCTCTTTTTTCTTTTTTGCAGTACACGTTCATAATGATTTCCTCTTGGCCATTCTCACACGGTGCCAGATCATTGTTTCCACACCAGGTAAAGAGTTTTTGTGTTGGCCACAATAAACCGTTTTGCCTCAATGTTATTGTAATATTATTGTGGGTCCGCTATGGACAGAAGTCTTGTCCTTGTCAGAACCTCCCAATAACCACCAGACACTAGTGCACAATAGCGGTTCTTTATTTAAAGACACACAATTATCACGCTGCAACAAGCACCAATAAAAACTGCCCCTCCCCGCTAAAACACCCCCATATAAAATAAGCAGCACACTTATCTAGTCAGTCCGTTGCGACCCTCTCCCGGGGTCAAAGCTGCAGCGCCGTCCAACGCCCTGGGATCTAACGTCATTGGCGGCGGTTGAATCCTCCGGCCTGGTGATCGCCGGACGGTAAAACGTCTGGGGAGTTGTCGCTGCTGGCTGTGGCGCCCTCTATGTCCCGGCCCTGGCTAACTACAGGAGGCGGCTGGCCTCCCTTCCTCTCACCGAAACGCCTCTCCTCTCGCTGGCTATCTTCGCCGCCGGCAGCCCTAAACAGCTGCGATCGACACCCCACCCCCTGTCACCAGAGCTCCGCGTCCGCTCAGGCAGTCCGACTGTTCTCCCAACCACGAGCCTTCCCCTCTCCGGTCTCTTTATCTCTTCCCGTGTCCTCATCCAGGGGTGGACATTAACTTCAAAACCAACCGGCCAGCCGGGCCGGTAACGCTGAATATTTACCGGCCCCGCCAAGAATCTACCAGCCCCGCTGGTCAGCTGCCAAAACGAGTCAAAATAACAACTGAACCGTTTTAAATGTAATAAACCTTTATTTTGTACACATTCACAAACATAATAACGTATTCAAGTTTGAATTTGTTTGTTCCCTCAACAAAACACGATTTTGTCGTCGCATACTTCCGGCATACAACGCAGTACATCACCAACTCCGTTTTGCTGTACTCGAGCCATTGGCTGTGTTCGAGATGAGCCAGTTCTGCGCAGATTAGACCAGCGGTGATCGGCGAGCAGCGCATGCCGGTTAGATTTGTGTCCGAATTGACGCTGACTTGCTCTGACGTCATGCATACATAGGCAACGATAACCTTGTGAGATCAAGGCGGCCGCAGATTTTGGAGCAAGGTGCTGCAGTTGCTCTCCACCGGCTGCAAAACCTAGATGACGGGAAACGCCTGGCTCTCACCTGATCTAAGATCTGATTGGTTCATATTTTGATCCAAACATCTGGTGGTAGAACATGAAATGCTAGTTGGTCACATGTATTCTGTCAGTCATGTTATGTTGATGATGACAACTATATAGGCCATAAAGAGAAATGTGATTTTTTTTCTATTGTCACGTTTCCTATGAGCACACTGAAGCTACAGCTGATAACCTTTACTCATTATTACAGTCAGGTCTCCAAATACAATATATGACATCCACAAGCACGTGAGGATGTGTTTCAGCTGCTAACAGGCACCAGAATTAAAATTGAACAAGTGTGAACGCTAACGCGATATCTTCATCCACCGTCACCCCCGAGCTCGCGCTCTCTCTCTCTCTCTCTCTCTCTCTCTCTCTCTCTCTCTCTCTCTCTCTCTCTCTCTCTCTCTCTCTCTCTCTCCCACTCTCTCTCTCTCTCTCTTTCTCTCACTCTCTCACACACACACAGGAAATGAGCTGAGAAAAGGCAGAGGAAATGGAGGAAAAACTACAGCTGAGCCGAGGCGCGCCTCGACTGGGGCGCGCCTGATCCGAACTGAGCAGCGGCCGAATTTTGTGAGCGATTCGCTTCTCGGCGCTTCCGCGGCCGGTGTGTCCCCGGCGTTAAACGCCGGCTTTCAGCCACTCCCCCTGCTGCTTCCGTCTGCTCTCGTCTGTTTTCCAGGCGAGGCGCTGCTCAACTCAAAAACGGCCATTCTCTGCGCCTCCCGTCTTCTTTAAACCGCCAAGAATCATTCCACCTACGCACACGCTTCTCTGCTTCATACCGTTTAGAACTGTCTCGCTTCTCCTCAACAGTTTTAAAGCGTTTTGCCAAAGATTTCCTCAAGAAATCCCATCGCTGTGGTGGCGCGATCTTCCTGCGTGCTTGTGTGTTTCTAGCGTGGTTCCACTTCGTCTTTAATAGTGAACTTATAGTTCACGTGACTATAACTAGAATCGTGCAGTACGTGCACGAATCGTACAAGTGCAGTACGTGGCTAAAGGCCTCTCCGCAGGTTCACGCGCGCAAAACGAAAACGGCGGCTTCCTACAGGGCGGGGCCATGATGTAGGTGAAAGCCGGTGTGTAAATGACAAATAAGGCTTGGGTGCCACCCGGGCGGTAAGTCGTCAAGTATTTACCGCCCGACGAGAAAATTTAGCGCCATTGGCGCCCGGGCGCTTTAAAGGTCCACCCCTGTCATCAGTGCGATAATACATCACACCTGGCCCTCGAAGGTTAACTCTGCCCTCTTCACACCACATTATCATTCACCTGCAAGACTAACTTTAAGTTTAAGCATGCATAGTTATATTAAAGTTTATTGAACATATATAGTTTATTAAAATTTTACTCAAACTTGACCTTTTCTTGAAATATGTAAGTAAGTAATGTTTATTTATATAGCTTCTTTCTCAGAAAGAATCACTAGATGCCTCACAACAGCAAAGTAATAAAGCAGCAATCATAACGATGCCATAGAGAGTGGCATATTTTTCTGCCCTTGTCATTTTGAATTAAATCTGGACACATTTCCACCTTTGTTGTTTTTCCTATTTACGATGCTGTTGAAAATATTCATGTCTTTTAGGGATGTAGAAAAAAAAGATCAGTATGGCAATAGGGGTGGGCGATATAGCCTAAAATCTATATTGCGATATAATTTGAAAAATGTGCGGTAACGGTATATATTGCGATATATGACTTTCTTTTGTATATATGTCAAAAACGACTGTTTCTAAACATACTCGCGTCGTAGTTGCATAGTGTGTTATTCCTTGGAGTTCTTGCTTTACTTGCTAGTCGACTTTCTCGTACAGTTTTGGCATCTCTGTTTGGCTGAAGTGTTTGCGGCTCGGTACCTCGTAACGTGGATCGAGTGTCTTAATCGTGTCCCGAAAGCCGCTTTTCTCCACTTTAAGAAACGGCACCATGTCCTTTAGGGCTGGGGGTAAACGATTATTTTTAAAACTATTATTCTGACGATTATTTTATCGAATAGTCGACTATTCTAATGACTATTTAGAAAATTAATCTAATGATTATTTTTCTATTGCACAATTAACAAAAACCAGAAAATCTCAAATAAATTCCTCAAAAAAAAAATTGATAAATTCTTACTGTAAGAGAATAAACTCTACAGGCCTTCCATTTTGTATAACACTGCTTTTATTGTGTTGGTTATGTTCTGGTGATGTGTAGAACTTGGGAGTGCAGGCTGCTGCCTGAGAGGTGGTAGAAGATGGAGTGTCTCCATGCTGCTTTGTTTTGGTCACTTATGTGCGTGAGGCGAGTGGTGTTACGGGTTAAACCAAACTCAGGTGATATTTTAAACTAAACCGAAAACCCACAACACTCTAAATGTAATAAAAGGGAGATCTACACCACAAAAAAGATGAACTCTAAACCAAAACGTAACAGCTTATCCCAACGCAAGAAGCTGTTAGCGAAGATGCTAACAGTAGCTTTACCAACATTAAGTTCAAGTTACCAAGTTTAAATAAACCAAAATCACCCAGCAGCAAACAGACCAGCACGGAGGAGAGACTGCTACCACCAAAACAGCTCTCCTCATGTCTGAAAGAAGCTCCTTAATGAAGGGAGAAGCGCTCCCGGTGATTTTCTACATCTGCGATAGACACGAAGCAGCGCATCTGACCCCGGAAGTTGTTGTCCGTTGCCGGGAGACGAAGGGGCAAAACAGGAAAATAATCTAGTAGTGGACGGACGTTGTTCCGGGTCTTCGGTATTTGGCGGAGATGTTAGTGAAGGCGGAGAAGAGGGCGAACTAGAGGAAGAACAGGCAGATTCCTCCTTTTTTTTTTTTTTTTTTTTTTTTTTTTTTTTTTTTTTTATTGAACTTTTTCATTTACAAACAACATGGCATAGATTCCTTTGTTTTACATTACCTGGGATCAGGTGCAAAAAAGGATAACAAAAGAGATTTTGCGTAGAGAGCAAGAATATTTGTGAAGGAAACAATCTAACAAAAGATAAATAAATAAATTAAACAAACAAAAACAAAAAAAAAAAAAAAAGAGACAGAGCTAGGGCTTTGTTTTCAAATCATACTTTTCAAAAAGATTAAGGAGTTTCATTGCATGTTTACTTTTCATAAATTTAAGGGCTTTGGAGAAAGAAAGACACTCGTTATGAAATGCATAGAATCTAGGTTTCACCTTTCCATATCTACATTTGTGAATATAAAATTTAGCAACAATGATTGTTATTTACCAGAAAGTCCCACTCAGTATTATCTAATATGGCTCCATAAATGACATCGTTCTCCGACAAGGGTTCAATACGCATCTTTGTGTATAGCCAGTCATGTATATCAGTCCAGAGAGCTTCAGAGTAGATGCATTGAAAAAATAAATGAACAGAGGTTTCTATATCATCACAAAATACACACTTATTTGTTTCAAAACCACATCTCTGTCGTAAGAATTCCCCAGATGGGTATACGTCATTTAAAACTCTATAATGGATTTCTTTGGCTTTTGGAGTTATAGGAAATTTGAGGTATTTAGAGCGTAATGAGTATATAATATCTATGGAGAAAATTTGTTTAATGGAATTTCTGAAAGGCAGTGAAGGGTGTGAAATATCATCAAGCATTTTTCTAATTGTTTTATTAGGAGTTTTAACGCTCTTGAAGTCGAAGTTCCCAGCTACTAGATGAGGAAGAGCAGGGGAGACTGAATGAGAGTTCGAAACAATTTCTTGAATTAGATTTAATGTAGGAATAGGGATGGCTCTTATTATGGAAGCGAATGAATTCTGATCAACTGTGATATTATATTTATGACAGAAATTTTCATGGGTCATCACACGCCCATCATTATCA